AGAGAGAGAGAGAGAGAGAGGACGACTTTCCACTTTTGGTTAAGAACAGGGAGCTAAAAGTCCACTTCAAGCCCATCTTCCTTGTTTCTCTTAGAGCCTCCTCAGCCTGATTCACCTTGACTTTTGCATCAGAGACAGATTGGACAAGTTGAGTATGAACTCAGTCAGGTTAGATTTGAGACTGATGGTTAGGTTTTGATTCTGAGTTTAAAAACTTTGAAGCCAAACCAGCCAGGAGCACCCACATGGCCTCTGTCTTTCTCTTTAGATCGAAAGGCATGACAGTTGTGCATATGACTATTTGGAAATCCGAGATGGTCCCACAGAGGAGAGCACCCTGATTGGCCACTTCTGTGGCTATGAGAAGCCAGAGGCCGTGAAATCCAGTGCCAACCGACTGTGGGTGAAGTTTGTGTCCGATGGCTCCATCAATAAAGCTGGCTTTGCAGCCAATTTCTTCAAGGGTATGGCTTAGCAGTCTGTTCCTGTGTTCATTCATGGGAAGAAATGTTGCTTTCTCCAGTTAAAGAATTCTAAAGTCTATATGAGACCTTAGCAGCAAGCAAAGCTCCTACAGGGCAGGGGCTGCTCACTGTGAACGCTGATAGGGCCCTCTCTGTGGGGTTTACACCTGTGGGGAACAGGCTCTAGCTGGCTTCTGCAAGGAAATTATTCTATTTGGGGAAATGAGAGTTCATGATTTTTTTTTTGACGGGTGTGTCTGCACATGTGCTAGTGTATGTGTGCATGTGCATGTACAGGCCCGAGGGTGACCTTAGGAGTCTCTCTCAAACTCTCTACCTTTTCTATTGACACAGGGTCTCTCATTTTAGCTCACCTAGCTAGTCAGCTTGCTCCAAGGATCCTTCTGCCTTCTGATGTTGGGATTACAAGCAGGCTGCCATGCATACATGCACACCTGGTGTTTATGTGGGTGCTGGGCATTTGAACTCAGGTCCTCACACTTACACGGCAAGCACTTTACCTACTGAAGCCAGCCTTCAAGGCCTAGTGATTTTTACCAGGTCAAACTATATGCAGTGAAACCCTGATTTAATAACAACACATGCCTGGCAGTTTCATTAACTGAGAGTTCACTGCGTCCCAGGGCCTGTGTAAGACACTTGCTTTACCTGATATCATTTTGTTCCCGTGATGACCCTTTCAGTTAGGTTTGGATTATATTGACCAGAACTGAGGAAGGTTGCTCAGGGTTGCTTTTGGACATGAATGACAGATTAAGGGTCTAAACCCTGTCTGACTCCAGACCCCAGGCCCTCGACAATCTTGCCTGACACTCCTAGGTATGAGCCTGAGAAGTACCCCAGATCTTCCACTCTGAAGGCATTGTCTCCCATCCCTCCTGCTGGTGCCCAGGAGAATGAGGCATGAGGACAGTAAGGGAACAAATATCCCCTGATGGAACCAGACCCAGATCACATAGGCCATACAGTATAAGGAGGGGCTTCCATGTTTCCTCTGAAAGAGCATTCAGGACCCCAAAGGATGCATAGCACCCCTAAGAAGGACATGGGAACATCCCCAGGCCTGGTACACTGTGGCTGGGTCCCCAGGAGTATGGCACCAGTCCTTAGTAGAGATAGGGGGTCCCTGCAGCTCCTTCTTCGTAGTTTCTTCTTATGAGATACCACTTGATGTCCAAGTCACCCATACCCACGTCAGGGAGACTGTTTCTTCCTTCCCTCCTCTCCCATGTCTCCTGGCTGTGAGAGACAAAAATCCCAATCCTCCTCATCTTCTTTGTGCCTCCTTTTTATTCTATTATTTTAGCTTTTGAGAGAAGATATCACACTGTAATCCAGACTAGCCTCTGACCCACTGGGACTCTCAGGCATTCTCATGCCTCAGCTTCTGAATGCTCAGATTACAGATGTGAGCCACTGTGCCTGGCCCTACCTCTTCTTAGGTACTTTTCCTAGGCTCTCCTTGAAGGGTTGACATCAGGAGAACTGACATCCAGAAAAACCACCCTGCTAAGCAGCCTCATTTCCTTACTGAAGCCTCAGTTTCCCCTTGTAGAACAGAAGGAAGAAAATGTGTTGAGTTGTGAAGCTCCTATGAGACAATGGCTTGGAGACGCTTTGTAAGCTGTTGGGTTCCATGTGAGATTACTGTTCTTCCCTTTTGTGGCTTGCAGGGAAGAGTGAAAATCTTAACGCCCAGTTTCCTCTGACCATCGAGGCCACAGTAGCATGCCCCAGAGTGCACTATCTGGCTCATGTGTCTTTGCCAGAAGGAGGGAACTGGAAGCATAACCACAAAGCCTGTGGCAGAGCCGGCATGAGCCAGAGAACCTTGTGCCTTGATGCCAGTTGGCAACAGCCTTTGCCTGGGGCCCAGCTGGCCCATAACACTGGCCGGGGTGCCAGCTGGCCTCAACACTGATCTCCTAGTGCCAGATGGCAGCCCTTCTTAGAGCCAATTGGATAGGCAGCAGGCAGAGCTTTACACTTCTGCTTGTTTCAAGAGAGGATGGTGGCATTCGAGGCTTGGCTGGTTCAAGGGGTGTGACAACCATCTTGAATCCCTACACACTATCATTCCAGTGCAGAGGGACCATAGAGGATGCAGGGTGGGGGAGGCTTTCTTCTAGGTATTTCTTCAAAGCCCTGGGGCGTGCTCTAATGTCCCTTAATTCTCTCTGAAGTTCTTTTAAGGTCTTTTCTGGATCTCATTACTGAGCCACAGAATGGCCCCTTCTTTCTGTGTGCCTAGAAAGTGGAAAGAAGCCAGAGATGTGGCTAGACCCAGCTAAGCTCTGGTTCCAGCCCATTCTACTTTCATGATCCCAGATCTCCTTAGAAGGTGTGCCCTGTTTAGAATGAGCATGAGCCAGTGGGCCAGTGACACTGTGGAGACAATGTAGCCAGCCAGACCCTGGCAAGAATGGTGCCTGCTTGTCTGCCAGTTACTGATGATGGCGCGGTGCTGTGGACAGCAACACAGCCCACTGCCCTGAAGCTTTTCTCCAACTCTCTGGCTAACGTGTCCTTTTGTCTCTGCAGGAATGGAGTTTTCTTTGCTTTAAGTCCATTCCACTAGCTTCTCTCCCTTTATCTGGCAATAACTAGGCTAAGAAATGGTGATCCTCTCTTTCTTGCCTCTGTGCCCTGCCCACAATCACCATAGCTCCAGGCATCAGGGCCTCTGCTTCCTTCCCCTTGGGTCTTTATTTATCTTTGTCCTTTCTCATGGAATCCTTTCTGTTTCCTCTGCTCTCTGGTCCATTTCTTGGACCTGCTGGGTCCCTCCTGTATGCCTGTTCCTTCTTCACTGACCCATACTGCAGCCCCTCTCTTCACAAGCTCTTGCCCCCCTCCTCACCTTCTGCTCACTGTCCTTTAGTCCAGGCTGTTTCTCCATCTAGCCTTCCCATCATCATCTTTCTGACTCTTGGAGGTGAAGAAACCACACCAGAGTTGTCTGAAGTGAGCACTCTGCACAGACAATATACCAGTCCTTCATGGGTATAATTTTCAATCACCACAAAAGCCAGGGCTGCTCTTGTCGTTTTAAAAGTAGAGGAAGATGCAGAGAATCTTAACAACTGGCATCCAAGTCCATCTGATTGGATATTGGTTGGTCCAACCTGACCCAGCTCACCTGGAAGCCGGGACTATTTCTATTGCTCCATATTTTCCTATATATTTCTCTTATTCCAAAACGTCTGAAAAATATTTTAGATGCCTAAGAAAGTGCTTTGCATATTTCAGCACAGTGAGTGAATAGTTGCTTGAACAATGCTTCCTGCTACATTTATTAATGGCCACAGACAACTTCACCTCCCTGCCTACAGCATCTTTTGGCACCCAGTGACCAACTCATTTCAGTCATTGTTGAGCCCAAGAACACCTGGCACTCAGAGTTACTCTGTGTGCTCTCCACTGAGCGAAACACTGGGGTATTGACAAGCTACCTTCTCCCCGGAGAAGGGCGATCAAATTGATAAGGAATGTGTGCAGAACAGACAAGGAAGAAGGCAGAACTTAGGTTCATTTGGGTCGGAAGAGGGAAGCAGAGATGGAAAAATAGAGAGGGTGTTGCGTTTGTGGAGGATCAATGAGCTGAGAGTTTGAGTAACCAGACAACCCAAGGAAACCTCTGATAAACAGTCGGCAAGGGTATTTTTAAAGGATATGTTTAAAGAGGTCCTGCCCATGGTGGTGTGGTTGGCTATCTATCTTTTCAGGCTGTTCTCAACCCTTGGCTGTTCTGATTTCTTTCGTTTCCTTGTGTAACCTGTTCTTTCAAGATTTGCCAACAGCTTCATACTTCCTCTGCCTCTATGTTCCCCGGGTGCCACGGATCGGCACTCCCCTTCCTGCCCCGCCCACTTTTCATTTTTAATGATGTTGAGTTGTCTCTTCAATAGACTCTTCTGGATAAGGCAGAGCATACCCTATGTGCTATCTACCATGGACCGCCATACCATGATTTTCCTGTTATCTCTAATACTTGTCTTAGAGATGGGCAGTGCTAAGGATTTTCCTTACTTCAGTGGCTTGTTAGCTAACATCTCCTGAGGGATTCTCCAGTGACTCCTGTGTTCTGTCCATGGTCAGAGCTCATAGTATCTGACACACTGTTGTTTCATGCCCTGAGCACACTACTGGACACCTGCTTGTGCTGAATGTCTCAGGCTACCCATCCCCAAGCCTCCACTCTGCCCTACCCAACAATTTCTCCCAAGTACAGTAGTTAACCTGAGAACTCAGTGTTTTCTATAACATCTTAAGAATTTCTACTTAAAAAATGCTGTTCTGTCAAGGATACTAGTACATCTTCATCTAGAAATGCATCCCTGTATTACCATCCATTACTGGGTGCCTCTAAGAAGTTCTGTGGCACTAAAATGATAAAGCCCTTGGTGTGGAACCTGGTGAGATTTATAAAACCAGTCATGTATTCTGGATGGATACCTTGCTTAAATCTATTCTCCAGGCCTGGTCCTTTCCATTCTGGATAACTAGACGCCCCTGCTTATGTGATCAGGATCTCACCTTTGACTGCTGAGTGTAGACAAAGGAGTTTTTAGAAGGTGACTACTAGAAGTAGCTCCTGTCATAGAGGAATGTACGGAGAGTCCTAGGATATAGAAGGGAGGAAGTGGACTGTACATCTTGGTGACAATTTAGCTCTGTCATCTTCTCTCCCCACAGAGGTGGATGAGTGCTCCTGGCCAGACCATGGTGGGTGTGAGCAGCGCTGTGTAAACACACTCGGCAGCTACACGTGTGCCTGTGACCCTGGCTACGAGCTGGCTGCCGACAAGAAGACATGTGAAGGTTGGTGTTGGATCTGTCAAGTTGAAGTGACAGGGAATGAGAGACAAGTTTAAGAAGTGGGGACAGAGATGGGCAGGTGGTTGGCTATGAAATAACAATATGCAGAAGAATTGCCTACTTTTCTGAGGCAGAAACAAGGGGGGACAATCACAAACATAACAGATTCCATCCACCCTTGAAACTGTGAGACAGAGGCTGCAGCTTGTCGCCTGCTGTGAGTATGTAACATTCATGTGGTTGTCATGGCAAGACCCCAAGGAACTATGATCACTGTGGCGTGACTCAGATGATAGCCTTTCCCACATAGCCTGGGTTCAGCCCACCTACCCACCTACATGAATACTCATACAAGCCAGGCACAGTGAGGAGCTTGACACAGACATCTCTAACTCTCCTTTGGTCCAAGACCTGTGGAGACCCCGACTGTGCCACTGTGTGACAGGTCAAATGTGCCGCCATTGTTTAAAAAGCTGTAGACATGTCCCCAACTCATTCCTCCAAAGCCTCAGTGGAAACTGTTCAACTAGAAAAAAAGAATCTGAGTCAGTTCAGACTGTCTACCTTCTTCCTGGTTACTAAAGGACAGCAGGTCTTCCTGATGCCTGGGGGAAATTGCAGTCACCTGGAACCAAAAACAAATGAATCTAAAATGTTTCCCTCCACACAGTGGCCTGTGGTGGATTCATTACCAAGCTGAATGGCACCATCACCAGCCCTGGATGGCCGAAGGAGTACCCCACAAACAAGAACTGTGTCTGGCAGGTGGTGGCCCCCATGCAGTACCGCATCTCCCTGCAGTTCGAAGCCTTTGAGCTGGAAGGCAATGACGTACGTCTCAGCCCCGTGACTGATGTGTCTGCTTTTGTGACTGGATTGTGGCTCTGTTGAGAAATGACTCAGAACTAGAACAGACTCTCCAGGCATCAGGATGGCCTGGGTGAAGTTGCTACCTCTGGTGGAGACCTGGGGTGCAGACTAGGCAGAACTGGGGGTTGTGGAGAAGGGGACGTGTTTCACATCAGTTTCTGTGTGTGCCCTTTTTACTGAGTCCAAGGAAGAGTAAAGGAGCAGGAGCTGGGGTTAGAGCAGTCAGGACAGATCTAAACTCCAATGGGAGGAGCTGGGAGCTGGCTAGTGTCCAGCTGAGGCCCTAAGGACCAGCAGCAGACAAGAATACAAAAAACATCCTGTTCCTTCCTCTTGGAAGTGGCTATGGATAACCAAGTTAGAGGAGGGCTACATAGTAGCCCACAGCCAGAGTGGTGACAGGAACATCCCACGTCTGCACCTAGGGATAGTATGAGTCCCTGGGACTACATGTATTTCTCCATGTACCCCTGCCACACCCCAGCTGGGACTGCCACTTTAACATCAGCAGCAGCCCAGCCCTTACCCACTCTATAGTCCTTTAGGTTACCCAGAGAGACGTTCACACCAACATCCAGAGACAGGAGGCTCAAGAGATGGCTGGACAGCTAAGAGGAAGTACTGCTCTTACAGAGGACCCAAGCTCAATTCCACGCACCTTCACTGGGTGGCTCACACCTGCACATAACTCTTCTGACCTCCGTGGCCACCTGCACTCACGTGTGCAAATCCACACACATACATAGAACTAAAAAGAAAACACATGTTTAAATGTAAAACAAACAAAGGGAGGGAAAAACAGTGGATGGAAGGCTCTGGAGCTCATCAAGGTTAACCTCAAAGTGAGTACTTCAGAAAAACAAATTCAAATTTCAAATTAAAAAGTAAATTTCAAAGTAAATTCTTTCAAAGTAGGCACAGAAGCAATGTGGACTCTAGTTCAAGCTCTGCTACTGCTGAGCCAAGTGACTTCAGACAAAAGTCTTTTACTTTCCGACCACTAGTTTGGCTGCAGGAGGCTATGACAGACTTGGATGGTGGCCGTAGTGTGCAGACATTTTCTCCCATGCTGTCCCTCTTTTGCCACCTTCTAACAGCAGGGGCCCATTGCTGAAGCCAAGCCTTGTGGTTGCCCAAGAGATAAGTGAGTAGAGAAGCAGGTGGGGATCCTGCCTTATGCTGCCAGGCAGTGGGACCTCACAGAGCCTCAGCTGAAGGCCAACGTCCCTGTCACCCTCTGGTGCTCACCGACACGGTGACAATCCAGAGGACTCAAGCTTTAAGACTGACTGGGCCCATTTGCCCACAGGGAAGGGTGTAGTTTGGGGGTAAGGAGGCATATTTCACACAATTATAAAATACAATGGGTCCTCCCTCTGATGAAGACCTATTAATATCAGCAGGAGGACTTCCGGAGGGAGGAGGGAGAGGAGAGGGCTGTTTTGAGCTGTGGCAGCTGGTCTGTACTCTGGATGGCATCTTAGCCATGGAATACAAGGGTGAAGCTACAATCCAAGAGTCCGAGGACACCACAACTATGGTGTCAAGAGGGCACGGGGTGTGGTCACCTCGGTGCTCCTGAGATACATAGATGGAGTAGCTGAGGGGCAGCATACTGCCCTGGTCCCTGTTCCTTCACAGGTCTGTAAGTATGACTTCGTAGAGGTGCGCAGCGGCCTGTCCCCAGATGCCAAGCTTCATGGCAAGTTCTGTGGCTCTGAGACCCCGGAGGTCATCACATCACAGAGCAACAACATGCGCGTGGAGTTCAAGTCTGACAACACCGTCTCGAAGCGAGGCTTCAGAGCTCACTTCTTCTCAGGCAGGTGGGGCGGGCCTGCAGAGGCCCGTAAGCTCCTGGACTCTGGGTTCCTGCAGCCTCCTCCCCGCCATCTCCAGCTTCCTCTCCAACTTCTACCCTGATAGCAGCCTCTATGCTGTGGCCCAGTTCATCTTCTAGGGATACCCCAACAAGTTATCATATATCAAGGGCAGCTTAAAACAAAGAACTTTGACTCTAGGTTCTATGAGCCAGAAATCAGAATTTAAGGGCACTACAAAGTACGTAGTAGGCCCTGTTGGTCACATCCCACTGGTGTATGAGCTGTTCAGTGGGGGTTTTTGGATCTCTGTCTTAGTGCTCAGCATTGAGGCAGGTCTATTATTTGTTGGTTTTACAGGCACTCGGTGTTCTGTCTCTGACTTTTGAACCAGGCAGTCTCTCGCCGAGCAAGCTCTGTTTTGTGTTATGGGCACAACACAGACCTGAGTTCAGAGGATGCCTGGATGGCGCCCAGCATTGCATAAGCTTCTTCCTGGTTGGGAAGGCCAGAAAGACAACATCCTACTAAGACCCAGCTTAGGTCAGGCTTGACAAGGGCTAGTATTTGGAGGAGAGGGGGCCTGAGGCAATGGGGAAAGGCTCTTTGCCCGATGCATGTGATCTGGGCCAGATCTGAAGGGCTGAGGTACAGCTAGTATGACTAGAAAGAAAGTGACCAAAGTCTGGAGAAGAGGGGACGTCATAAACTTGGATTTAGGAGGTCTCAGTGTTCTCAAGGACTGAGATAAGAGCAGACTGGCAGGGACCACGCCTGTCTGGGGAGGCCACAGGTGGGCCAGGGCAGGCAGGCTTGGTCGTAATGGACCGTGAAGAGTGGCTGAAGCTTGAGATCCATTGAACCAGGATGGAAAGCTCTATGTAGGTTCCGAGCAAGGAGGCCTAGGAATACCATGTGGTCAAACCAGGCCAGGCAGGATGAAGCTGAGAGTGTTGGGAATCTCCTCAAAGGAGAAGATGCAAGGCCCTGATGAGTGGTACAGTTCCATGCTCGCACACAGGGGCAGAGAAGCTGTATGTGAGGGTAGTAATCCATGAATGTCAGCAAGAGGACCTAGGAAAGGAAGAGGAGGAGGAGGAAGAAGAGGAGGAGGAGGAAGAGGAGGAGGAGGAGGAGGAGAAAAGGAGGAGGAGAAGAAAAGGAGGAGGAAAAGAAAATGAGGAGGAGAAGAAAGAGGAGGAAGAAGAGGAGAAAAGGGAAGAGGAATAGGAAGATGAAGAGAAGGAAAAGGAGGAGAAAGAGGTGGAGGAAGAGGAGGAGAAGGAGGAAGAAGAGGAAGAGGAAGAGGAAGAAGAGGAAGAGGAGGAGGAGGAAGAGAAGGAGGAGGAAGAAGAGGAAAAAGAGGAGGAGGAGAAAGAGGACAAGGAAGAGGAGGAGGAGAAGGGAGGGGAGAGGCCTGTACTGGGCTGTGGCATTCAATTTGCATCTAAGGGCTCTGGATGGGGTAGTGGTTGTTCCCATGAAATGCAAGGATGAAGCTCCAGTATGAACAACTAGGACACCACATCTAGAGTGGCAAGAGAGTAGTGAGGGAAAAGTGACCCAATAGCCCCCGAGGCACACACAGAGTAGGATAAAAGCCAGGGGAGGATGGAGTGGAGACGGAACCTCATTTACTGCAGAAGGCAGGTGGCCATGGAAAAGTCCACACAGTCAGAGCCTCAGGAATCACAGGATAAGAGCCAACACTGGAGGTCACATGTGACTGTAATGATAGCAAATGATACTTCCTGGGGGCTAGACACTCTCCCGAGGGCTTTCCCCATTCCCATTCATTTCCCCCTGCAGCACCCTAGGGAGGCACAACTTCAATCACTGCCCTGCCCTTCCCTCTCCACACATGGGACAGTGTGTGTCCAGACCTTTGGCTCATAATCTGCTTCTTGCTGAACGACTAGGCATACGAGCGGCCTCGGCCTGTTTCTTTGCGTGTAAGCTGGGGTGCGGCTATGCTTGTCTAAGCTCGAGTGGTAATTAACTTAGATGACAGTAACTTAGATAAAGAAGTGTCAGGGGCCCATCCTGTGGTTACCATTCAGTATATGCTGGGCATTTTCATTATTGCTGCTGTTGCTGTTCATGTGAGCCTGTCCTCCAGGGAGCTCCTTGGTTTGGGTGGGAAGCAAGACAAGAACATATGTTCCATACACGAAAGTGATTTAGCAGCACAGAGAACCCCCCAAGAGACCAATGGATGCCCCAAACATTCCAAAGATGCTCCTTCTGTGGCCAACACCCCTTTAAGGGACTGTGATCTGGGAGGCTCCCTGGAGGAAGCCACTTTTGAGCAGGTTCTGAGCCTCGAGGGACAGCGGCAGGTTGGCAGCTCTTCTCAGGAGAGTCCATTGATCCCAGCAGACAAAGACGAGTGTGCCAAAGACAATGGCGGCTGCCAGCAGGAGTGTATCAACACGTTTGGGAGCTACCTGTGCAGATGCAGGAACGGGTACCGGCTGCACGAGAACGGACACGACTGTAAAGAGGGTGAGCAGGAGTTGTGGGGTGGGGACTGTCTGCGGCTGCATCCGCTTCCCCAGGTGTGTAAGTGGGTAATGGAGGCTTGGGTGGGAGTTAGCCTGGGGAGCTACCATCTGCAGAACGTCATGAGATCTCTGTCTGAATCTTCAGTCTAGGGGCCCTCCAGCAGGATACCACTCTGGTGGCCCTCCTGAGGGACAGCTGTTCTCTTCAGGAGGCCACCATGAGTGACTAGTTAATCCAGTAGGCTTCAGAACTAGCACACATCGATCCAAATCATGGCTCTGCTATTCCCTCGCTGTGCAACATTCAGTTAGTTACTTAAATACTCTGAGCTTTAGTTTCCTCTTCTGTGACAAGCAAGGTAAACTTGCCTCTTTCCTAAGGGTTCTATAAGGGTTAAAGCCTGCCTAGGAAGTGTCTGAAACAGGATGGTCCATACTGTATACTGTCATTCAATAAATATCAGGCCCATGTCTTTGTCATAACAGCGCCACATGTAGGACTGAGTGTGAAGTAGGAGGAATTTTGCCTGTTTCCTTCTTTAGTGTCTGCTGAGGGTCTTCCAGAGTCAGATGACTTTGCATATGACGCCATTGTGAAGGAAACTTGGCCTTAGCTTTTCCCTTGCCCAGTGAGGGGAGTTTGTGCATCTGTGATAAGCATAGCTTCAGGCCTTGGCCTTCCCTGGGTAGGGGAGAGGGAGGATGGGGAAGATGCGAAGGCCTCATGTCTCCTTCCGTTTCCTCATTTGAAGACTGGGAAATTAAGTGAACAGGTGCATGCAAACCACTTACCACAGAGGAAGACAAAGTCAAAATACTGTCACCAAGCAGGCCATGTACCACTCCCGGATAATAATGGGTGACTTGGATGGGACTCATCGGGGAACGCATAGAGACCGCATGGAGATCTCTGTTGAAATTCACTGTGGACGGTACTCTCTAGGCCATTTACATGGGATGCTAACCCGTGTGTGAGCCTGGAACCCTTTTTACACGTGAGGACATGAGAGGTCTTGATGCCATATGTTGTAGATCCAGTACTCTCACTGCACTCCACCCGACCCCAGGACACTAAGTCGGCCACATCCCCAGTGCCAACCGCCATGTAGACAGTCATAGTCATTGAAATGTTTCTCCTCCTGTGCCAGTTCAAGCCAAGTCAATGCCAGGTCACACCAGATGCAGGCTGGCTACATTGGCTCTTGAACTTGAGACTCCCCTGTGATGCTGCCTCCAGCTGAATGACCCCTCTGTGTGTCCCCTTGTGACCTCCAGCTGGCTGTGCATACAGGATCAGCAATGCAGAGGGGACCCTGAGGAGCCCCAACTGGCCTGACAAATATCCCAGCCGGAAGGAGTGTACCTGGAACATTTCATCAACCGCGGGCCACAGGGTGAAAATTGTGAGTCGCCTCATTAGTTTGTTAAGAGCACAAACTTTGGCATTAGGCAGACATGGGTTCAAGTCCCTGCTCCACGATCAGCATGGAGCATGTCCAGGTCTCAGTTTTCCTGTTGGGAAATGGGGAGATGCTGTGAATCTTGCAGCGGGTGCTCTGAGGAGATGAAAGGAGCATGCTCAGAGCTCTATCACAGCACTGCTCACAGCAGCACTGTGTGAGGTGGCGGCCACCACGCAGGCCTGCAGTGCTGTGTGTGATTCAGTTGTGTCCAGAGTTGATCTCTAATAGAATATCTTACTCTTGAAGAAGAAAACAAAAACAAAAGACTTAATCTACACAGAATGCTGAGAGGGAAGGCCATAAGTCCACAGGTCCCCATTTCCACAAAAGACTTAATCTACACAGAATGCTGAGAGGGAAGGCCATAAGTCCACAGGTCCCCATTTCCACTCTAGGAATTTGTGAATCTCCTCAGAAGTTTCCCACATAAGTGAAAACATGTATCTTTTTTTTTCTTACTCAAATCACTCACATAGAATAAGTACAATTGTTTATACTTCTTTGAAATCTATATCTTTGTCAATTAACAATGGGATCAGCGCATTAACTCATCCTTCAGTTAAAATACAATTGCCTTGCAAATCGTGTAAAGTCTCACCTACATGTCTGATGTGTGGTCTCACACAGTGCATGTCATTATTTACAAAAAAAAACAACAAAACGCCTCTCTCTCTCTCTCATACACACACACACACACACACACAGCACATGCAGGAGCACACTCACACAGGAATACTCACAGGCACACAGATACACACAGATGCACATGTATACTCACAGAAACATATACATACAAACATACACAGGAACAATCTCACACACACACAAACACACAGACACACACACAGGAGCACACTCACAGACATATACACACAAACATACACAGGAACACTCTCACACACAGAGACAAACATGCACACTCACATACACAGGAACAGTTGCAGACACACAGACACACACAGATGCACATGTACCCTCATAGAAAAATACACACACACACAAACACACACACACACACCTCAGACTGTTGAGATAAGCAAGATGAACCTTATGAATGACATACTGAAAAATCCAGGGAAGAGGGAAGAGACCAGGAGAAGAAAGGGTGATTTATAGATGATAATGTCCTGCTGTACAAGGGTAAATGAACAGGCTCCCAAGGCATCATGGGTACAGAAGGGACCCAACCATGGGGCATGTTCCTTAGGCTCCTCCTGTACATGCCGTGTGCTGCCTATGTAGAAACTGCCTTCCTCTGCCCTGGGTCCCTCAGAACAGTGTAGACTCCGGATGAGGGTGAGTTAGGAGTGCCTTGGAAGGACCAGCTTTACCCTAGACTGCCATCTGCTGGAAAGATGCTCTGTTGCTCCACAATGTCCTTTCTTGCCAGTCATGAAGAACAGCATTTTCTCAGGGTTGGAACTCAAACCTGCAAAGTGGGAAGCCTCTATCTGAGGTGTGTGCATACAAGAATTATTTATAAAAACAAAACAAAAAAACCACCACTTCCTTGAAAATGGTTGGTGAGCATGTGGACAGAACTCTGTCTTTTGTTAATATAAAATGACCGCTGCATGCAACCAGTGTCCCCCTTCCCACTCTATCCCCACCCAAGCCTTCACCTAACACTCCCTGCTCACTGTGACAGCACAGGCAGGCTCTCAGCCAGCCAGGCATCTACTCAGCACCCAACGAGCTGTATATGGCCAGAAACTATTCAGTTCCTCAGGCCAACAACTGGGGACAGTCTCTAATGGAAAGACTAGAAGAAAGGAGGCAGCAGAATCTGGTTATGGTTAACAGCGTGACCTGCAGAAAGTTGGCTCTGGGTCCTGTTCAATTCTTACTCCAGCTGAACAGATTTAAGCAAGCCAACTGGCGTCTTTATGACTCAGTTTCTCCTTCTGCTCACTTGGGATAATAATAGATCTTCATAACCTCATTAGAATTTAAGTGAGAAAATTTTTATCATTTATTGGAATGGAAAAAACACCCAACAAATGTCAACCACTTTGAGGGACGATGGCAGAACAGCGTGGCCTTGCTCAAAGCCACTGTGATTTCAAGTGTATGGCAGAGGGCACAGGCTAACAGCGACACCTCTGAAGCCACAGGTCGTGGGTTACATACATTCTCTGCCAGTCAGGATGCTGGCCATGTCTTCTGATGTCTTCTTCAGGAGTTGTGCACTAGTCAGGGTTGCAAGGACTGGATGAAGGGACATTTGTAAAGCCTGCAACACAGCTGCCAGCATGGGTGAGCACTCAGTACTAGCTGGTTCCTAGCATTAGAGGAAGGGTGGGAAGAAGTAAATCTGGGCAGCTGGCTCTGGGACTGGATGTTGTATCATCATGGCAATGGTAGGTGCCCCTAAAAGGTAGGCAGACACCTCCAGGCCCTGGGTTCCCCTCCCTTCTCAATGCCAGATCTTTGCCTCACTTTCTGCTCTCCCCTCCCCAGACATTTAGTGAATTTGAGATTGAGCAGCATCAGGAATGTGCCTACGACCACCTGGAACTGTACGACGGGACGGACAGCTTGGCCCCCATCCTCGGCCGCTTCTGTGGCAGCAGGAAGCCAGATCCCGTGGTGGCTACAGGCAGCAGCCTGTTCCTCAGGTTTTATTCAGATGCCTCAGTGCAGAGGAAAGGCTTCCAGGCTGTGCACAGCACAGGTGCGGGGCTGATGGCTTCAGGCTGAGCACCTCACAGGCTCAGGGAGAGCGAGGGAGTAGCGAGCTCAGTCATCCTGGTTAAAGAAGCATGGGCAGCTGCCATAGGTCAAACAGCTGCTCTCATGTGCTTGCTGTCTTACTTGACAAAACTGGATGTGGGCTACGCTTGGTTGATGCTGTGTGGCCATCACCCCCTCTGCCCCCTACCTTCCTCTTTCCCTCCTCTGATTCTCCCTTTTCAATGGTGTCATTTTGCTGGCTTGTGACGTGCAAAGGTCTGAAAACTGAATGGAAGTGAGCAGCCATTTTACTCTCGAGGGTCCACTTCTGGAAAAGGTTGCTTTTTCTTGTCATTTTTTTCCCTCGCACTCCAAGTCAGTAGCTCTGCCGGGTCCTTTGGAAGAAAATGTGTGTGCTTCTAACTTGCCTATACTGTTAAGTATAAGAAGGCCCAGAGGGAAGAACACTCCACTCTGCCATTTCAGCCTTAGCCCTGTGAGGAGTGTAGGCCCTTTGGTCCTGGCATTTAGTTGTGGCAGAGCCAGAGGCTGACCAAGAACCTGAAGGCTTTCCGTTGTGGTGCTGAGCAGGAGATCATGATCGTGGGACATTGCCATTCTTTTTATCTGCCCCCTTTCCCACCATGACTCTTTTTATTACCCCCTTCCCTTAGCCCCATCCCACCCCCTTAAATCAGAGCCAGAAAACAGGGCTCAGCGCTTACAGAATGGCAGTCCCTATGTCTAACCAGTATAGATTTCCTGCATACCACACACTTCATAAGACCCTCTCTAGCCTCTTAAGGATCTACGCTTCATCCACAGGAGTTTAGGGCCACTGAGGAGGGACTTCACCTTCTTGTTCCTTCAGCCGGAGCTCTGGGTGCTCTGAATCAGAGAATTGGCTCAGTGGTAAGAGCACTGGCTGCTCTTGCACAGGACCTGGGCTTGATTCCCAGACCCACAGGACAGCTTACAATTGTCTGGATCTCCAGTTTCAGGGGAGCCAATACCCTCTTCTGGTCTCCACAGACACTGCATACGTGCACACAACACATGCATACGTGCACACAGAGAACGCACACACACAGAGCAAAGTAAGACAAACATAGGTGTTCTGGGGAGTTGGGTCATACTTGGGACATATTTGCAGAATTTAATAAAGTGACTATTTACAGCAGGGCTTAGAGAATGTGGGGACACTCCAAGGGACAGGACAAAGTTTGAGAACCACAATTTTATAGTCACCCCAACTCAGAGGGCAAATGGAAGAAAGGTCTGGGGGGTACTGGGTGCAAATTGCCTAACTTCCCTTTGACCTGCGTGTTGTCAAAGGTTGAATCCAGTTGCAAAGTAGCAGGTCACTGGGTGCTGGGGTGGAGGGATGGAGGGGTGGGAGGTGGAGGGGTGGAGGGATGGGTGTGGAGGGGTGCTAGGGTGCTGGGTTAGAGGGATGGTGGAGTGGAAAGGTGCTGGGGTGGAGGGGTGCTGGTGGTGGCACAGCAGGTAGGAAAGGAGGCATCTTGCCCTCTTGTGCTTATTGTATGTCTCATGAGTTGAAAGTCAGGCCAGACATGAAGTAAAGACAGAAATAAGGACTCAAGTTGGACGGGGGCAGGCCCACCCTGGTAACCAACTCCAGATGGGATGTTAAGAACCAAAACTGCCCACAATCCACACCAAGAGCAGCACTGAGTTCCCCGCCCGGATCCTCCCATCCCACCCCACCCCACCCCACTTCCCCACCTCATCCTACTCTCACCCCCCCACACACACACATACACAGTGTAGTCCCCTTCAGTAGAGAGGAGGTTTCCCTGTTGCCGTGTTCAGTTGCAGTTCTGATATGCTTTTATTGCCCTCTGCTGGCAGATGCCACAAATTACAGTATACTCCAGCGCTAGTGTGAGCCCTTTCTGCTTCCAGTCCCTCCAAGGCTTAAACTAGTCAGATCGGTCACATCCCTGGAAACAGTCAGGCAACCCACTCGTCAGCTCCTTTTCTTGATTAGTGGGGAGAGAAGGAGTAGCTAGTCTTTCTCAGCAGCATTCTTGGGGCCAGTTTGGATGGAACCCTGCCCTGTGCCGCACTGGCCTCTGCTTGCTCCTCATACAGTAGGATGGTGAGGTTGCCTATCTCCTCCTGCAAGGCACACAACAGACTGTGGAGGTGGTGATGGGAAGCAGTGGGCTGATGTCCAGACTCTGGGTGCCAGGGGAAAGGATGAGCCTTTGTCTTCTCTCTGCTGCAGAGTGTGGGGGCAGGCTGAAGGCCGAAGTACAGACCAAAGAGCTCTATTCCCATGCCCAGTTTGGGGACAACAACTACCCGAGCCAGGCCCGCTGTGACTGGGTGATAGTGGCAGAAGACGGTTATGGCGTGGAGCTGGTATTCCGGACCTTTGAAGTCGAGGAGGAAGCTGACTGTGGCTATGATTTCATGGAGGCCTACGATGGGTACGACAGCTCGGCACCCAGGCTCGGCAGATTCTGTGGTTCAGGGGTGAGTCTGAGGGATGTCCAGGCCACCTCCGGATGCGTGAAGAACAGACCTGAGCTGGAGTCCTAGTTAGTCCCACCACTGTGAGCCACAGCCAGGAGCCTGTTTGACTGGGACAGAGAGGAAAGGGGAATCCCCAGAGATGGGTTAGGAGGTAGCCAGGTGTTTTCTAGTCACACAAAGGACATTATCAGTGAAGAGGACTTTATTCTTTTGCCTTTGTCCCTGTTTTTCAAAAGAGTATTCCCCTTAATTTTTATTTGAGCTTTATGAATTCATTATATTTGCATATATTCCCTATATTCACAATTCTTTTTGTTGTTGCTCCTGTTTTTCAAGACAGGGTTTCTCTGTGTAGCTCTGGCTGTCCTGGAACTCACTCTGTAAACCAGGCTGGTCTTACACTCACAGAGATCCACTGGCCTCTCCCACCCAAGTGCTGGGATTAAAGGCATGTGTCACCACCTGGCTTATTCACAGTTCTTATTCTAAGCAATACCAAGTGTCTTTGAAGATTACCAATCATTCTTGGTATAAACATAATGTCAAGGTCATTACTTTCCTCTGTATTGCCCACTTCCTGGGCTCACTGTATCCCCAGCACCTGCCTCAGGGTGGACATACAGTCTGTGCTCAGTGGGCATATAGGAACCAGTGAGAGCGATGTCCTGGCTACTTTCTAGACACACCATGCTATCCACCATCTGTCCTGGGCTTCAAACATTGTCTTTGCTGATCACGCAGGCTTTTTTGCCATTGCCTGGGCATATGCAAATCATTCTGGAGTTGCCACTGCTCCTAGTGTAAAACAGACATCCAGCCCAGTAATCATGTCTTTGAATGGTTATCCTTCTGTTTTTCTTTGTTCTCCCCCAAAGAAAGAACCAAATAAGATCTCCCTTTTAAGGAGCCCCTTGGGGGTCATAATTAGTGGAAAGCCCTGTTTGGCATCCTCCAGTTCTGGCAGGCAGCAGCCATGGCATCTGGCTCCCACCTTGCAGACGACCTGGCAGAAGCCTCCTGACAAATGTAGCAGCTCCACCCACTTGTTGGCCACAACAGAATGTAGACTGAACAGTGGTTTTCCTCCAGGTTTCCTGGCAGACACATCACAGTGTTAAAAATTACAGAGCAGGAGATCCATGGAACAAACTTCACAGTCAGAAAGGCCCGAGTGTGGGTCCTGCTACCCTGTGTGATCTTGATACTATGAAGTTTGCGTCGCATGAGATCTGGATGTGGCCAGCACAGTGCCTGGCCCACCTGTGCCCTGACATATGATAGATGTGTGTCTAGGCTCAGCTTTTTAAAAACAGAGCCCAGGGTGTCTTCCTTTGAAAAGGAGCCTGTTGGGATGTCTGTCAGAGCATCTGGTGACCTCATGGCAGCTATGGCCAGCCTCAGGCACCATCTCTGCACACCCTCCTCTGAATCCCAACAGTAGCCAACTGACCTAAAATCCAGCTCTCCTTCTTCTTTCCCTCAGCCGTTAGAGGAAATCTACTCTGCAGGAGACTCACTGATGATTCGCTTCCACACGGATGACACCATCAACAAGAAAGGCTTTCACGCCCGATATACCAGCACCAAGTTCCAAGATGCCTTGCACATGAGGAAGTAGCACCTTGGTTCTGGAAAGATAGGGAGACTAAGGATGTTTCAAACACTTGTGAATGAGCAGCCCCCAGTGTACAGTGTTTTTCTCCACAACAAAAACTCAAACTACATTCTTGAAACTATGTATCTGGGTGACAGTACATGCCTTTGGCCAACAGGAGGAGAAAGAGGGGCCCATTGGTTCTGTCTGTGGTGTGATCAGTTGCAGCTTCTGGAGGAGGTCAAAGTTTGAAGTTAGTGGTCAAACAAGATGTGCTTCTTCACACTTGTTTACAAGCTTTGTTCCTATGGGGCAAAAGGCCAGCCTGGGGCAAAAGGCCAGCCTGGGAAAAAAAAGCTGCCTCTTTCTCAGCTCTGGACTGGCTTCCATAGGTGACATGAGCCCATGCTGGTGACTTGGCTGCCTTCTGACAGTACTGGGCATCAAGGATTAGAGATTGACAGTGGCTACGATGTTACTCACAGGTGTATCTGAATGCTTTTGTGTAGCTCTCCCAGAGTCAAGCCAATCAAGAAACCTGAGACTGTGGACACAAGAGTTAAGCAGCATCCCAGGGCACAGAGAGGAGGCTCAACCTGGGAACCACGTAATGGAGTTGGAAGACCTTGAGCATTTTCCTGTCACTGCTTGTCCTTATGTTCTCTGGGGTGCCCCTTTCGTCAGTCCCCATTCGGAAAGGGGAACCTCACTGTCACTCCTAGCAGAATATTCGTCGGTGAGCACTCCCAGGTTGCTGAGACACCTAGCATCATCCAATATTCCTCCACTCAGTGGCTTAGATGTCACCTGTGCTGGGGTTCCCCACCAGCTTCCTGGAATCTCCATCTGTGAAGGCACCTGGTCTATCATACGTCATCCCCTGGACAGCCATTTCAAACAGCATCTGTGAGACGTGCCACATCATCTCAGGACCAATTCAGGTCTCACTATGAGAAAACTAGTAATTCCAAGTTGTGTAAGAGCCATCATCTCTGGAATAAGTTGGTCTGTGGCACACATGTAACCAGACAGGTTAGAGTGCATTGGCAGCTTTGCTGGGGTTAACTGGGACCCAGCCATCCACTTGCCCTAGGAATTCTCAATGCCCTGCACTTGCTCTAGAGAAGTGTTAAGGGTGATGTTTACATAATTTTAATGCCTCAAGGTATAATTGAAATAGTGAGGTAGTTTTGAATGGCATTTCATTAAGGCATCTCTGGGCATTATGAGCTAAAAGCTGTGGTATGTTAGCTTTCTAAGAGCATTTATGTTGGAATACTTTTAAAATAATGTTTACATAACTGCAAGTCCTGTTGGGTTGGTGGCGGACACAGGGCGGCACAGGAGAGGGTTGTCAGAGATGGCATGGCTCCCGAGCACCAGAATCCCTATGTGATGGACTGTCACTTTAAACAAAGCATGTGTGAAGGCTAAAGGTTCTACTTTAAAGAAAAAAATCACAATATCCCAATCAAGAGGATGACATCCAACTGAAATAAGTGCGGGGAGCAAAAACTAGAAGGAGACGAAGAAATGAGAGAGAAATGCATCCAATTATTAATAATAATAATAATATATGTCTGTATATATGTATCTATGTATGTATGTATGTAAGGATCAGCTATCAACGCCTTAACCAGGGCATCGCGACAGTGCCAACCCACTGACTGTGGCTTATCGTCAGACTCTGGTGCTGGCCCCACACCTTATGCCTCTCCCTTCAAAACCAAGACCTCTTCTCTCTTCTCTTGGCTCTGAACTGTAAGCCTCAGCCTCCATCCTGTCCTGATGGCTGGCACACCCACCCAGGGAGCTTCATATGGTAAAAGAGACAGCGTATGCCATGGTTCTTGTCCCATCAGCCCACTGGGATAGATTCCACTTCTCTGGTTGTGTGTGTATGTGTGTGATGTGTGTGTGGTGTGTGTACGTGTGCATGTGTATATGCGTGATTAGCTTTTATTTTTTCCTCATCTTGTCTGTCAAGGGTGGAATGGAAATCAGGATGCATAAGGTATCTGCCACCCATCTCACTCCACACAGATAAAAAAATCTGTATTTTTAACCTTTAGAAATGTAACTAATTGGCACATCACATGGAAAAGAGGAGCTGGGGAGAATAGGGGTTGGTTTCAGCATTTGCCACCCTGGTGACACACTGCTAATTCTTTTTAGTGTGAATGTTGTCAGAAGCGCACAGTTTCGGCGGAGGCCAGCTTACAACAATGGGGCTCTTATGAAAGCTCTTATTTAGGCCTGCGAGTGACATATTCCCAGAAGACAGGCTCTGATTCAACACGGGCTGCTTGAGAGCCCCTCCTCTGAGAGCCAGCACCCACAGGGATGTGCACATGACACAGGCCCTGCAAAGAACCACAGGCTGAGTTCCAAGAGTAGTTCACTCCACAGACAGACCCAGGTGCCCACTTTGGCCCTTCCAATTGCTCAGTGGTCTTTCTGGAAATGTCAGATGTGGATGGATAGAAGGGCTTGAGGATAGCCCTTCAACTTACCGTCCCCTTTATGTGGGACCAGGCCTGAGGGTGTCATAGAGCTCTAAGATCCAAGGACTGCCTCTGGGACAAATGATATAAGGACACATTTGGAGCTTGGGACTCCAGGCTGATCTATTCTTGTATGTTAGCAGAAACCAGAGCCTGTCCCCCAGGGTGGAAAACGTCTCCAAACAGCTGAAGCCAAGCTGTGTATTGATTCACTGTTTTCTCTAAAGTATCTTTCTCAGTATTTCCCTCTACACAGTCAGAGTATTCATACAAGTCCCAGTCTGTTTAAATAATTGTATAAACACAGTTAACCAGCAAGTCTACATAAGAACATGCTGTCCGTTTGGCCCTGTTGCTCTTCAGGGTTCTTGGTATTGTTCATGCAGTTTGGGAAGCGATGGCCCCTTAGCATCCACAGATGTTTTTAAAGTTTGCTTTGCAGATTGTGATCAAAGTTCCAAATATCTAAAAATGTTCTTTTTTAAAAAATAGAAAAGTGTTATCTATAAATATGAAGGTATTTTTTATTTGGAGTAACTTTACTTTTCATGTAAAATGCCAGTCGGCAAGAACACGGGGAGATGATAACCCTTGTCTAAAAATAATGGCTTCATTAAAGAATGTGGATTTGCTGTTGTGTTCTGTGCTTGTGTTACAGTAAAATCTTGGCCCCAATGTGATGGTTTTAGGGGATGAGTCTTTGAGAAGTGAGAGCTCCCTTTCCCCATCCACCATGAGAGAGCAAGGCAAAGACATGGCTGTCTACGAACCAGACATGAAGCCTTCTCACACCAGCATTGCTGGATCTTGGTCTTGGACTTGACAGATACCACAAGCATCTGCCTAAGGCACCCCGTTGTTTATGAGATGCCCAGCATACGGAATTCTCTCAATCTAGGCAGCCACTTAGCATTTAGACAGTCATTGGTCTGACTAGGAGTGTCTGCATTTAAATACTGGAAATGTAAGTGATCAGAGAATCAGAGTTTGAGTCCCCAACCTCACTAAGGGCACTCCTTCTGCTGCTTCTAAGGAGATGCTTCTCTGGCCCAATACAGAAAGCCCCAAACTTACAATGATTGGACTAAACAGGTTTTTTGGGGAAAAAAAACCTTACAGTGGTATAAAAATGATATGCATTCAGTAGAAGCCATGCTTTCAAATGTTTAATTTTCAGTTTGGACTAGGCAAGCAGTATGTGGTAAGATACCCTCTCATGGCATCATGTGATCACAAGTGTTGGCAAAACGGCACGATAATATTGTTACCAAACAGTGGGGCTCGGGAGGTTGGCGTGTTCTATGAATTTTTGACTTAAGCTGTTTGTAATTTACAGTTGGGCTGTTGGGCATATTTGCCTTCTACATTATGGAGCATCTGTAGGTATGCCCATCCAGAGGAGGAGAGGTATTTACCTCACATATCCCCTTTCCTTGGCTTAACACTTCCAAGTGCATTCTGCAGACCCGCTTCTGAGCACGCACTGGAGAGACCCTGAAGCAGTCTTCCTTGATGTGGCTCACTCCAGACTCACCTCCTTCGAGAACCAGGGTCTTGATCAGTTGGCAAATGGGTGAGGTATTTTGGAGCACACTTTCCTAAGGACACTCTCAGGAGAGTGACTGTCCAGGAATCCCTGTTGTTGAAACCTCAGGAGCAACCCACTCTCTCCCAGAGCCTGGTCCCTTGACTCTCTTCTCCGCAGGCTCCACTACATCCAGGCAATACTGCCTGATGTAAGATGCTTAAGCTGAGGTACCACTTAACTAAAGGTGCCAACCATCCTTCTGAAGGGATGGTGTTCCCATCAGAGGGAGAGTTGGGAGTCGGTAAGAACGTTGTGAAAAGAGACAGAAAGGACCTGAGTAGCCTTGTAGATCCATAGCCAGGACACAGGAAAGAGGACATGGTCCTTTGCTTGGCTATAGGTCCACCTATAATTCTATGTCTTGCAAGAAAATTTAGCAGCCTGGCCTGGAAGAGTTGTGTTGATTAACCATCCAATCTATAGATAGAGGCTGGGTAAATGCGTTCACTTCCTACAGAGGCAACTGTGGCTTTACGTCTGGGTCTTACTATGTTGACTCTGTGACTTCTAGATTCCAGTATTTTTAGTTTAGGTACTCACTGTTGTTTTGGAAGCCCCCAGAGAGAGAGAAGTCACATAGATCATGTTCAGTAGAGGGATCCAGTGCCTTGCACACTGACTGGTGACAACAGTGGCTGTTGCTCTTGACTATCCATTAGCATCCAGGAAGCACCCTGACCCCTTCTGGTCATTTGAATCAGAGTCTCTGAAGGTAAACCTGAAGGCCTTGGCATTGGAAAATTTTCTAAGCTCCCATGGGATTGAGGTATACAGGTGGGCTGAAAAGCTCACCCAGTTGAAGGCATTCTAGGTCCCTTCCGGTATAACATCAAACTGCCGTGTTCACAGGAGCCTGTGATTCTGGGTGCACACCAAGCAGAAGTCAACACACATGGCTAGCCTACAGTTCTGTGTCCCGCCTCTCTTTACCTCTCTATAGTCTTCTCTTGGTGGTTTTTATGAACTAATCAGGGTATTTTTTTATAATTCGTTTTTTGTTATCAATTCACTATTTCTGTGTGCTTGTGTACATGTATACATGCTCATGTGTGTGCATGTGCGCACGTGCGCATGCGTGTGCATGAGTGTGTGTGTCTCTGTGTGTGTGCACATGTGGAGATCTAGAGGTCAGTCTGATGTGAAGTGGCTTCCTCTACCTCTCTGCACCTCAGGTTTTGAGATGGAGTCTCTTAATGAATCTGGAGCACGTCAGTTCAGTTAGGCCAGCCAGTCCCTAAGTTCCAGGGACGTGGGATCTCCTGTCTCTGCCCCCATCTCCCTTCAGTGCTAGGCAGGCACACTGCTGACTGAGCTGTCTCTCCAGCCTTACAACTTACTATTTTAAGAGGCAAACTCATGACAGAAATCATGAACAAAGCCTCAACTCTAGGAAACTTGCACTCAAGTAAGGCATGAGGGCTGGAAGTCAAACCTGTCACCAGGCTGGCCATGGACTGCTGGATGTGCCGTTCTTTGTCATAGCCACAAACCTGCCTCACACAGAGCAGCCTCAGTACCTCTCAGGTAGCTATTTCTTGTGCCAATGCGGATGTCACGTTGCCCATGTCACGGTTTAGGATTTATTTAGTGTGACGCCTGACTGTTGGAGGATGGAGCAGTTTACCTCAGCCTTCTTGTTCTACACCCCCCCTACACACACACACACACACACACACACACACACACACACACACACTGTGTAGTGTGACTGTGTCCGAAGAGGTCAGAAGAACATGTAGGGTCCCTTGGGACTGTAGTTACAGGCTATTGTGAATTGTCCAAAGGGAACTTGAACTACAGAGCCATCTCTTTAGCCCTGTCACCCACTGCTTCTAATGAGTGCAGCTGCCAGAGCTCCCAGCTCTCAGGCCAGCTTGTGGCTTCTTTGCTTCAAAGTAAAAAGGACAGAAAATAAAGGCAAAGAGAAGGAAGACTGGGGCCACATGAAGTGTGCAGGGGAAGCTCACCAGCTGAGGGCTTGGCTACTCCCCTGACCATACATGGCGTGGCAAGGGCTTTCCTGGGAGTACCTCTAGCCCTGCCTCCCATCATTCCCAGCTGGTGTCCTACAAATGGGAGACACGGAACGCCAGTGCCAGTGAGAGAGAAGCTTGCCAAGGGAGCCTGTCAGAAATGGTAAGTAAGAGTTAGCATCTTTTCTCAGCCTGACCTTTCTCTCACTGCGAACCAATTCCAAGACTTTAAGGTTCAATTCTCCCAGGTCAATACATATAACTTATTATATGTTACACATATACACATAGAACTTATTATATTATTACAACAAAGTCTTGGAGCTTGGCTTTTCATTGTTTTCTAGGTGAAAAATATTAATTAAAAAAATCTCATCCAATATGTGCTGACCTCACCTTTTACTTGATGCAAAGCTTTTCTTCCAACCATGGGGATACAGGAGAGGCGGTTCAGGTATCTTCATTTCCTGGGGGAAGGAAGCCTTGGGTTCAGAGCCACGATCTCCTCTGTCCTCCTTCAGTCTTCTGCCGGCTGCTTTCTCAGCAATGTGGGCTCCACCTTTTCTTACTGACGTGTGATGCGTGTCTGGTTGTGACTTGGCCAAGAAGTTTGTTAAATCAGGAGGAAAATCAGGGGGCTTTTTTGTGTGCATGAATTCTAGACTTTATAGATACATAAAATCACCTCTCTCTCTCTCTCTCTCTCTCTCTCTCTCTCTCTCTCTCTCTCCCCCTCCCTCCGTGTGTGTGTGTGTGTGTGTGAGTGTGTGTGTGTGTTTAGGTGTTTAGGCTTAAAAGTAGACATGAAACTGCCTGGAAGTGGTGAAAGGGGAGGAGCGTAGGACCACAGGACATGCTTAAAGTACTTTATATACTTAAATGAAAATGGCCTTGCGTATAATATATAGCATAAACGAATGTAATAGTATGTAACATAATAAATATAATATATTATGTACAATTTAAAAATTAAGTTGGCTTTTGGTTATAAACATTAGTTTATAAGCCCTAATTATTTTTCTACTTATTCTAGGAGAAATAACACACACACACACACACACACATATATATATATATATATATATATGTATATACACATACCAAACTCTTGCCAAATCATGCTTATTTAGTGCCCCATTACTGAAAATTAGATTTGTTTCAGCAGAGTGTCCCGGTTGGGTTGAGATAAGGGATCAACTTTCTCATTAATATAATAATCTCAGAGTCAGTCTGACCCAAGTTCAAGTTGTTAAAGGGTATACTGTGGTAGTTTATGTGTTAGAGCATTTCTGGTTCAATGCTACTAAAATCTGTGAACTTCCCTGAAAATAACACAGGTAACTGACAACGAATGAGCAACTGGAGTACTTATATTAAATATTTTCAGTATATATGTGTGTGTATAAATATGGAATGCTTATATTAAATATATTCTATATATGTGTCTGTATAAATTTAGAATATTTATATTGAATATATTCAATATATATGTGTGTACATAAATATGTGTGCATATAATATTCCTGGCTGAATATTACCCAGCCTTTACTGAGGAGATTCTGAGGAGTTTGCCACAGCCCTGGGTGGCTTAGAGGACATTATGCTGAAGGGCATATGCCGTAAGTAACTACAGCAGGCCTCACATGGGATTTAAAGACAAGAGATGAGGAGTCACAGGACTTAGGAAGACCTGAAACCTAACCCAGTACTTACCACTGACCTCTGGAAGGAAGCTCCCCTTGGGCTAGGTTTCCTCACCTGGGTTTCGGGGATAATAGCGCTGCCCTCATGGGAAGTCTCAGAACAGTGTCCATGGCGGTCACTGTCTGCTGCCGCTTTCCCTTCATAAGTAGTAAACTCATGAGGGATACTCAGCCACTGAAGATGCCAAGGGTGTCGTAGTAAAAATTGAATCTCAAATCAGGGTTACTACTCCACCTTTGATTATTCAGTTCCCAGATAAAAGACAGCCAACTTTCATATTTATAATAAGCAGCATCAGAGCTGGGCAGAGATCTACCTTCTATGCTATAATGTCCGCTTCCCTGACCATAACCCCAGGATATGACTTGCCATGTTGCATCTGTGCCGTTCCTGACTCCAACTGGCCAGCCCTCATGGCCATGTTTCCGTGACTCACTTACCCCATGGCATCTTCTCTCCATCTTCTCTCCCTTTCTCTTCATCCTCCTCTGACACTCCCTCCAGCCCTCCCCCGCCCCCAGGAATTGAAACCTCATCTCCCTCTGTTCTGTCCTTCTATAGGCTGCCAACATCTTTATTCAACCAATAGTTTTAAACTAAGAAGAATGGTCACATAGCATTACTTTGTCTATGTGCAGATTCTCTCATTCCCTGGGGGCAACCAGGCCATGGGGACCAATAGTTAGCATTACAGTACATAGCAAAAGACCAAACCTCAACACAAGGGCCCTTAGAAACAATCTATAGCCGTGACACTGATAGACAATTTGTTTTCTTTACTATGGGTGCTTGATGCTAACAATCCCACCTGACAAGGACCTACGGAGTGGCTTCCCTATGCCAGCTCTGTGCTAGACAGACCTTAAAGAACATGACATCATGTGAGCTCTATCCGTCCAGAACATTTGCAGGCTGGGAGGGGCTGCCGCATACAGTGTGTCCTTTGAACTTTTCCTGGGAAGTAAACAGGATGAACAGTACCCATTTCCAGAATGGAAAAACTGAGCCTGGCAGGATAGAGGGGGCTGTGGGGATATGGAGACCCAAAAGGTTTGTCTTCTCCAAGACAACACAACTTCAAAGTGTCAGAGGCTGTATCCACACCCAGATCTGGTGGCTCAGAGCCCAGGGTTGCCTCAGCACCACCCGCTCCTGCCAGCTGCATCTCTAGAGGGCTCTGTGCCATCTCTTTCTCATCATGACAGCATGACACTGTTTCTACAAAATATGAAAGTCTTTCTGAAATTGGCCAAAACCTTCGTCACCCGAATGTCAAAAAAACAACGCATGCAAAGACCCACTTGTTTGCAGCCTTTCTCCTCCATCTCCTCCAAAGGAAGCTTTGTCTGTGGCCTCCTGACGTCACTACTAATGAGATAAGTCTGGACAGCTGCATAACCATGGTGGTCAGCAAGTGTCCTTGGGCACCTGTAGGCTCGGGTAGCATCAGCATGAAGGGCAGCAAGGAGCCTTGGCCTGAGGGTCTCAGGTGCCACCCTGGCTCTAACAGTCCGGAAGAAGTTTGTTGATTCACCTGCAGAAACCGAGGTGTTGCAGGGAACCCCTGTGGGTTGTTAGGGAAGTGTCATCAGAGAACTCTGGTACTGGTGACAGCTGACTTAGCTGTGTGAGGACTCATTGCCATGCTTGGGCCTTGTGAGCTTTCCCTGTAAAGGGAAAATGCACTGTTACCAAGTGGCAGAGCAGTGGGCAAAGTCAGCATTGTGATGTGTGGACTAGATGGGGCCATCTTAATAAAGGATCCAGTCTTTGGGGTGGAGTCGGGAAGCTCCCATTCCTTAGCCCATGTGATCTCCAGCCCACAGGTGAGGTGATTTTCTTGGTTTTGTACTTGTGGGGTTCTGTGATGGGGACCTGGCCTCAAGCTCTCTGATCTGGACCCAGAACAAGATGCCTGTTTTCAGAGAGGAGCTGAAACTGTTCTCACTTGTTCATGCCACGACGTCTTGTGAATCCCTGGCCACTCTCTCTCTCCTGTGCCGTGAGCTCTTTCGCACTTTGAGGCACTTCAACCCTCCTGTGTTATTTGGGATGCTTTAGACTTTCTCATTATTTCGCCACCCATGTGGGGAGCTGCAGTGTTAGCTGCTGCCAAACCGCTTCCCAGGTCACCTGCCCCGCTGGCTCTAATCCTCTAACCTCATAAAATGGAAACTCCAGAAGCTTGTAAGTTATCAGCCAGATTTATGACAGCAAATCCTTAATCCCCAAAATGACCACACAAAGAGTTCAAAACTCAGTTGATATAGACACAAGCTGCACACCTAGATTGGACAGCTGTGCCCTACATTACTCTGTCGTCTTCTATGAAATCCAGTTACTTATGGATCCTAGGATCATGTGATTCTTGTGATTCATCTTCTCCCTCAGGTTCCATCTTGTCTCTCCTGTCTCTTCCTCCTCCTCCTCCTCCTCCTCCTCCTCCTCCTCCTCCTCCTCCTCCTTCTCTTCCTCCTCCTCCTCTTCCTTCTCCTTCTCTTCCTCCTCCTCCTCCACCTCCTCCCTCACTCTCTCTCCTCTCTAAAACTTTCAGCTCCACCCCCTTCTTCCACTGCCCAGTCACAGGCTCTAGTCTTATCTGACTAATTAAGATTTCTCCTGACCTCACCTGAGTACAGGTGCCCCTTTTTAGGGGCCAGAATTGGAAAACATTTAATATGAAAAGTTAGTGAATGTTTGCTGACTGAGTAACATATCCAGTCTTGAGGTGCTGCAGGGGTGATCAAGAGCTGGGAGGCAGAAGGAGCAGGGGTGCCAGGAGATGGGGCTAGAGGAGGCCTCAGCCAGGAACCAGGAATGAGGATGAATGAAAGTCCAGAAGATAGAATGAAGAAAGAGGATCGGGGAAGGCCACTGGCTAAGCCATGGCAGGGTCCACCCATTGCTGCCAGCAGCAGGGAAGGGACTTGATACTGTTAGAAAAATATGTGTCAATCAGTCCAAACTGGAATGCCGGGGAGAGATAGGGGGAGCAGAAAGGAGCTGCTGGAGACCTTGGCAGGATCTGATCCTAATAAGAGGCATTTGTGAGGAATTTGTAAGCTGGGAATGGGGTGGAAAGTTTATATATTGATTGTGCACAATTGGGAAGGGTAAGCAGGTGCAGAGAGAGCTGGGTTAAGTTCAACTCTGCTCCCCTGACTGGTTCAGCTCAAACTTGGGAATGTCCCCCGCCTCCCAGCATCTCTCTCTGGTTAACTCTCCCGGTAAGGTGATTAATAGTCAGGGCTTAAACCATTCCACTTGGGGCAGCTGATCTGCTCTACGGTGAAAACAGAACTAAGTACTTCAAATTCTCACAATTCTCCCCCTGAAAGGCATTCTGGGAAAAGTCAATTTCCAGTGCCTTGGTGAACTCCTCAGTCTATTCCTGGCTGGGGAGCTGGAGAGGGAGAAGAATAGACTCACTACTGTGGGGACAGCTCTCCAGCACCCCAGCTCCTGCACTGACTGTTCTGTGACTGGGAACTGAGAGGCTCTGGTGGAGCCCATCTCTGGGTTCAGTACATCTTCCCCCCGGGTTGCTGTGGCTTGGAGGGAGAGGTTTGGGAGGTTGCTAACCATTCCTGGGAGTTTTAATGTTCTTTTTCTCTCTTGCAGAGTTTTTCACTGAACTTTACACTGCCATCGAATACAGTAAGTAGAATAGTTAGACCCCTGTCTCCAGGCAAGTCAGTGAAGGTCAAAGGACTTACTGTCTCCCATGTGCACTGAGTAGAAAGTATAGTCTGTATTGAGCAATGTTTGCTTTAATTTAAATTTTTCCCTCCCTCTCTGGTGTGTGTGTGTGTGTGTGTGTGTGTGTGTGTGTGTATGTATGTATGGTAAGTGTACATGTGCCATGATATGTGTGTACGGAAGTCAAGACAACTTACTGGAGTGAGTCAGTGTTCTCCTTCCACCCTGTGTGTTTTTAACTAACAACAACAAAAAGAAGAAGTATAAATCTACATTTTGAAAAAGAAAATCAAAGCCCTAAATTTCCATCAACAGAAAACACTGAGACAGGCAACAACCCCTGCTGTCTGACTTTATATATGCAGCAGCGCCCCCTGCTGTCTGACTTCACAATATTCAGACTTGTTCTTCCTTCTGAATGCTCTTACCCTACGCATAATTTTGTATCTTAAATATTTTCCAGCAGTGTTTATAACCACAACAGAGGATAGTCACACATTAGTCTTCAAATGGTTTGTTTATGAGCTCCAGATGGGAATAACCATGTGATAGACATATCATTATAGGTGAGACTTTTTTGTAGTTTCTTTTTTTTGAGACAAGAGTTCCTAGTGTAGATCTGATTGGCCCTGAGCCTTCAATGTTCCTAGTGCAAGGATAACAGGCATGTGCCACCATATCGGACTGCATCTGTATTTGAGATTAGTTCCTTAGTGTGGGGTGTGGGAAGGGAGTGGTTGGGCTAATCAAGACCGAGCATTTTCAGTGGGTAAAGCTATTGACAAGTCTGTGACACCTTACACAAGACATTTCACTTCACTGTGCCTCACTCTTATCATCTGTAAAATGGAGGCCATGTTGGTCCTGCTTGGTTCAGTATTATGAACTGTGGGTCAGTCAATATGGGAGAAGGGCTTGGACAACCTAGCACACAGTGGCTGCTCCACAAGCATTTCACATGCAACTAACAGGTGCTCATGGGAGCAGAAATACCATCAGAAGAAACAGGAAGGTAGCCATGCTACCTAGGAGAAATGAAGAGGGGGAAGCCTCGCCCCAAGCTCTCCTTCCCTACCTGCAGGATCTAGAGAAACCAGCTTCTCACCTGTCCTTGGGCTCTTCTATGTTCTAGGTGTTATTATTTATTTAGAGCCAGGTGGTGGTGGTGCACACCTTTAATCCCAGTACTAGGAGGGCAGAGGTAGGTGGATCCCTGCGAATTCAAGACCAGCTTGGTCTACAAAGTGAGTCCAGTACAGCCAGGCTCCATTACACAGAGAAATCCTATCTTGAAAAAAAATATATCATTTATTTAGAAACTGGATCTTGCCAGTATCCCAGGATAGTCTTGAACTCAAGGTTTACCTTCCAAGTGCTGAAATTAAAGGTGTGTACCCCACTATGCCTGATACATTTTTATTTTTTGCCCTAACAATCCCAAGTAAATTTCTGTACTTTGAAGACAGAATGCCTTACCTGAAATAATGGTAGTCTTTCCCCAAAGTCCTCAGAAAGACAATACTTTATACCAGGACACTGCAGGATCCCAGTGATATGAGAGTGTGTGGGGTCGTGTCATGTCATGAACAACAGACAACGCTGCCACCATCGGTGAGGGAACAAAGAGGCCTGTTCTGGAGTTCAAATGTTCAAGTTCAGGTTAGATTTATCCCTGGCCATTGTGCTCATCAAGGTCACTGAGAGGATTAAATAGAAATAGACCCTGCTGGTATTGTGAATGCTTTCAAGGGATGACATAAGGTCATGATTGCGGTGATCGTGTGATCCCTAAAATCCCCAGAGGTGGCTATTACTGTCCCTCTTTTATTTAATTTTCTTTTTCCATTTTCATGTTGGTATATGTGGTATGCATTAATGTGTATGCACGCTCCGTATGTACATGGGCATGTGTGTGTGTATGTGTGTAAGTACATGCACATGTGTGTGCATGTGGAGGCTCATGGTTGATGTTAGGAATCATCCTCCATGACTCTTTAACCTTATTCATTGACAAGGTCTCTCAATCAAACCCAGAGCTTGCTGGTATGGATATGGCTAGTCTTGCTATCCAGCTTGCTCTAGGGATCCCTTTTCTGCCTTCTGAACCTGAAATTATGGAAGGTCATGACTTCCACCAGACATTTACATGGGTTCTAGGGTTCTGAACTCTAGTCCTAAAGCTTAGTCACTGAGCTAGCCCCTTAGCCACTGCTTACCCTGTTTTAGCTGGTGAATCGAGATGAGACCCTGCAGCTTCTGAGCAGAGGAAGAAGCCTCCCACTGAAGGCAGAGTAAGCCTCCAACCGTGATCATCATATCCCTGTTTATCGTAATAGGAATCCCATGTCCTATGGGCCAGTGCCCTACCACTGAGGCCCCAGGACCAGGGACTCCATGTAACAGGGCACACAGTGGCTCATGTAATGCTTTGTTCCCAGAGATGCTCTTGAACTACCTCAGACAGGAGTGGCAGGTAGTACCTCTCCTTCCTCAAGCTGAGATGTCAACCAGAATAACATAAAATACTGTTCAGTGTGGGTGTAACCCAGGCCCATGGATGATCTGCAGATGTCACTTGCTCTACGGTGTATTTGGAAGCAGACATGACTTCCTTAGGAACTTCCTTATGAAGTACAGTGTTTATGTTTTCTCCTCGTGGGGACAAGTGGGCTGAAGTGTGCTGGCCCCAGCATGAAGGCCAGAGACAGGAGATGTAGAATGTATTACAGTGATTCACCGGGTAGATAGTGGCGATGTCACTTGACTTTTGGGATTCATTTTCCTCGTAGCCTAATTTCACTCTGATTCTTACTTGGGAAGCAGCTGCACAAGGCTCTGTTTGCAGGTGCTGCTGTTAATCGGTTAGAGGAGAGGCGTTCTTCAGGAATTTGACTTCGTGGTTGACGGGATGCTTTGCATGATGTGTGCTCAACAAATTTTGTTTTCTTATAAAGCATATTCTCCTTTCACACAGACTTCCTCTCCAGTTGCCACGAGTGCCAAAGCCACAGTAAGTGCCCAGTCCCATGATCAAGCCTTGGTTCTGCCGTCCACAGCATGAGGGGAAAGTGCTCTCTCTATCTCTGGCATTCATTGTGAGGATTAAAGCTTGACTTGTGAGGTATTCTCAAGTCCAGGACTAGACTCAATAATTATTCCCATAACCACCCCTGCCCCAAAACAACAGAAAGACTAAAACCACAGGCCCTGGGGCTGGAGAGACTGCTCAGCAGTAAAGAACACTTACCTAAGACCCCTGTTCAGTTCCCAGCATCCACATGGTAACTCCCAACTGCCGGTTACCTAGTTCTTGAGGGTCTTGTGCTCTCCTCTGACCTCCGAAGGCTCCTGCATGAATAAGGCGCACATACATACACATTAAATAATTAAGTAAATAAAATGTAAGCAAGCAAACAAACACACATACAGGCAAATTCACAGAGCATGGAGAAAAGCAGCCAGGGATAGAAGAGTCCATGCCTATGTTTGCATCCGTATGTTGGAAACCAGACAAGACGCATGTACGGTGATAGACTTCAGGATGGTGGTCACCTGTAGGAGGTTGAGAGAATTCTAGGTCTTGATGTGAGCATCAGTTTTATATGTGAAATGACATTCTGCAAACAGTCCTTATTCCATGTATTTATGACACATGTTTTTACATGTTCGTAAAATCACACCCTGCTAGCGTTATACTTGTTGCATAGTTATAAGAATTTGCATATCGTCTTTAGTGTTTCCAGGAAAATCTGCAACCCTAAAACCTTGTGGTGCTACCAGCATATCTGTTACCATTCAGATCAAGGTGGAAGCTTGAAAGCTGGATTATGCACCCAATATAAATGTTTTCGAATAACAACAGATGACATGCGATGTATGAACAGCACTGACTTTTTGTTTCTCTATTTAGGTTATTCTTCTTAATATAATATTTTATTTGTTCTTTTAGAATGTTGTGAGTGCACACAATGTATTTCAATATATCCATCCCCCACTCTCAACTCCAGCTCCCCTTAAATTCCCCTCCATCCTCCTTGAAACCTCCCGTCCTTTTAATTTTTTTAATAACTGCTAAATCCAATTCATGCCGACCTTATACACATAGTTCTGGAGCCAACCACTGGAGTATAGCCGACATACCAGGAAGCAAACCTCCAGAGAAAACTGGCTCTCCCTCTGCTGAAAGCCATTAACGCTAGCATCTCCTCAGCCGGCTGTGGGAGCTTGTGTGGACCACCCCGAGCTCTGCTAGACCCTTGACTAGCTTGATCTTGTGCAGACAGCACAGTTGCCGTGAGCTCCTGTATGGGATGCTCCTGTCTTGAGCATAAGACACTGATTTTCCCTAGTGTCTCTTGACTTCTGTCTCTTCTACCTTTCCTCCCCACTCTTCTGAAACATTCCTTGAGCCTCAGGGGAGGAGATAAAATATAGAAATCCCAGTTTCAACCAAGCACTCCATAGACACACATTCTCTGCACTTTGGCTAGTTGTAAATCTCTACATTAACCATTCTCCACAGTACAAAAAAAAGTTTTTCAGACTGAAGGTGAGCATGGCATTTAATTGTGACTCTGAACTATACCTTGGCTTTTCTTCTTCTGAAGGGTAGTTTGTGCTTCTGTTCTATGAGGCCCCTATTAAAATCGGTTGTCCATTTTTCTAGCACATGACCACCATTCCCAATGGACTTAAACTATATAAATTAGATCCCTTAAGATCCTAGGAGAGCAAGTCATCAGTCATATATGGTACAAATGCCATTTGAAATATTTCATTTCTCTGATGCAGCCAAGGCCCATCCACCTCTTTTGTTTGTTTATTTTAATCACTGAGTGTATCCTCTATTTTGTTTTGTTTTGTTTGTTGAGACAGGGTTTCTCAGTAAAACCATTCCTGGCTTCCCTGGATTTGCTTTGTAGACCAGGCTGGCCTCAAACTCACAGAGATTCACCTGCCTCTGCCTCCTGAATGCTGGGATTAAAGGCATGTGCTACAATGCCTGCTGTATCCTCTATTCTTGAAGAATCAAGACTTTTCTGACTCCATTTTATTTCTCTGTGGCAGGACTGTGGTCCCTCTATTGGACTAGCAGCTGGAATCCCATCCCTGCTGGCCACAGCCCTGCTGGTGGCTTTGCTGTTTACCTTGATCCAGCGAAGAAGAACCATCAATGAGCCTGTCGAGGTGAGATGAGCCATCGAGGTGATGGATGCTTCTTGGCATGTGAATGCGTAGCTTGAATCGGTACTTCAGTGCACTGACCTCTGTCTGACACAAGCACGTCAGAACTCAGGACCTGTGCTGTTTCTGAGGACAAGGCAGTAAACATTTCTGCTCTGTGATGTCCTTTGTCAGTAGGCTCAGGCAGAGCTGATTTGTGTATAACTCCCTGGTTACTTGAGCAAATCTCTGGCAATAAGATGACATTTGGGGTGGCAAAAAATAGGATGGAGAGAGATGACTGGTGCCATACAACATATGTCTGTGCAGTGGGGTGTCATCTACACCGAGGGAGGGAAAAGGTACAAGTCCCATCATTAGATGGTAAGAACATAAGAGAAGACAAGAGACAAAGAAGGATGGAGTGTCTATGGGAGAAGTATGATAAGACCATAGCCTTGCCCACTCCTGTATCTAAATGGGTTTGACTTACAAGAGAATGCACCCCTAACATCCTGTTCAACAAGGCTTCACAGTATGATATACCTCTGTCAAATGGCCTCTAGGTTCCAATTTCACTCTCTACTTATGAACAATCATAGATGATTTTATACCAGTAGATATTAACATAGGGAGATAGAAAGCCTGGCTTCCAAACCAGGCTCTAAATCTATGATTTATGTGAACCTGGACAGGTGACTCAACATCTTCTATGCCTTGGTTAGTTCAACGCTATAAAAAGTATCACGTAACTTCTCTCTCAGGTTGGGGATATTACTGTCCATACAGAGCTTGCCTAAAATATGTAAGGGTATGGAATTCAAACCCAGCACCACAAACAGCAATAATGAAACCTAGCCATAAATGTATACACTCCCTATTTTAAGAGGTAGGAACACTATAAGGATAGCTGGAGACAATGGGCAATAACTATCATTATAGTATGGGTACTGACAAGCTGTAAACTGGAGACACATTAAGAAGTATTGTGGGCAATGGTGACATTATTTATTCAGGCGATAGGTGCTCTTTAAATCAGGAGTTTCTGGTGATGGCGAGATGGCTCAGTGGTTAAGAACCCTCGTTGATCTTCAGGGAACTGGGGTTCTGTTCCCAGCACCTAAATGGCAGCTCCAACCACCTGTAACTTCAGTCATGAGGGATCCAACACCTTTTGGCCTCCACATGTATGTGTTATATAGACATACATGTAGGCAGACACTCAAACACATAAAAACAAAAATGAATGAATGAATGAATGAATGTCTGATGACAGAATATGTCATTGTTCCAAAAACATTTTTTTGGGGGGGAGGCTTGGTTTGATTGTTTGTAGTAGTGGAGATCAAGTCCAGGATGTCCCATGTATTTCCATGTACTCTGCCACTGAGTTGCACTCCCAACCTAACATATGTATATGTATATGTATATGTATATGTATATGTATATGTATATGTATATGTATATGTATATATATATATATATATATATATATCATACACACGCACACAGTCCCCTGCATATCATCCACAAAGGGTCATCTAGTAGTCAAGGCCATCTACTGGTCACTCAACACTGTGACCCTTACTAAACCCTATATGTACTACACACACCAAACTATGATAGCAATACATTAGTCACTCTGATAGATTAATGTCCTTAATTAATAATAAAAGGGAATGACTTAAAATAGAACAATAACCGTGAATGAAGTCTCTTGAGCTCTCTGTCGACTCTCGCGGGCGGGAAGCATATGTAGCATGGAGACCCTGAGCAAGGGGGTGGGATGACGTAGGGTGGCTCAAGACTTTGTCACCTGGTTCAAGATGGCATTTAAAACTTCTGGCTTCTGGAAGCTCCATTAACATCTTAGTATCCCCATTGGCAACTGATACCTGAAACCGTTGTAAGTGCACAAGGGAATTGCTGTAACTACACATACATTGCTGTGGAAGTAGAGCACAGAGGACCCAGTTGTCAACTCATGGCCAGTCTGGTTTCATGTCTGCTCCTGTTCACTTCTTCTGGATGCCAGTTCTGGACTGATGAACTTCTTGAGTCTTTCTGTTTATTTTGCTCAAGGTGGGCTCTTATATGTGTGTTTGCTTTGTTTTAAAGGCTTCTGGCAATTCTGATGTGATTTAAAACACAAGGATTTGAATGATTACAGCTGTGACCCTTCACATACATACATACATACATACATACATACATACATACATACATTTATTTATTATTTATTTATGTATTTATTTTTAACCATTTTAGGAGACTGAGATACCATGTGAAATTTCAGAACTCTATGACAATCCCAAAATATCCGAGGTAAGCACTTTTGATTATAATTCCTGAGAGTGATTGAAAGTGTAGCAATGTAAGGGTTTTTAAGTGTGCACTTGTATAAAGGTGAGACCCTGTGGCAGGAAGGGCAACCAAATGTGTGAAAGCACAAAGGAGGTGTTAGGTATGTCTACTGACCAGAGAGAAATTCAAAGCTGATTTAACATCTGAAAATCAGAGGTTGGATTGTAGCTTAGTGCTAAAGTGCTGGCCTACTACGCGGAAGTGAGCAGGTTCTGTGCCCACCACTGAAAATTAAAATAGCAGCAGCAGAGATGACAATCAACTTAATATAATTTATTTAATGGACAAAAGAAACAGATATGTGGCTATCTTAAAAGAAAAAAATGGGGTTTTGTTAAAACCTGTGATGAAGCTGTTTTATTTATTTATTTATTTATTTATTTATTTATTTATTTAGTGTATATACAATGTATGCGAGTGCACATGGGTATGTTTGGGTATTTATACTATGGAATGTGAGAGGAAGTCAGAGGATAATTTCAGATGTCAGTCCTTCCCACCCACCTTGCTTGTAAAGGATCTCTTTGTTATTTTTTCCTCTGCTGATGCTGGCCCACGATTCCCGGGATTCTCCTGACTCTGCCTCCCAACTCCCTGAAAGAATGCTGGGATTGCAGGTGCTTGTACTTTATCTGTTTTTTATGTGGGCATTGGGGATTCAAACTCAGATCCTTATGCTTGCTAGCAAGCACCATTTCTCCCCAGCCCTTGACATGAACTTTCAAAGCTAAGCTAGAACAGAAACTTAATTTGAAAAGTTACACTCAAGGGAATATGTCTTTAAGATCAGAATTGAATCATGAATGTCCATCATGTACATTCAGCACTGGACTTTAGGTCCTAACCTACACAATGGGATAGTGGGACAGGACAATGTAACACTGAAAGGAAATATAAACAAATATAACATATACATATACATATACATATACATATACATATACATATACATATACATATA